ATATATATATGTATATATGTATATATATATATATATACCGTGTATATAAGTGTGTATGTATTCATAGATATATATATATGTGTGTGTGTGTGTTTGTATATATTTATATATATATATATATATATGTGTGTGTGTGTGTGTGTGTGTATTAATATATTATCGCCTAGTGGTTTTCTTTCAGTATTCGCCGGCATCGTGTCTACCGTCTGTTTTATGTCCTTACATACATTGTCGCCTGGATTTGAGCTGGGATAGTTTCCCGCGGAGCGCATATATTCTACACATAATACAAATGTCGGTAGCATATGCCCTGAATCGGTGGTGTGCCATACAGCCACTACAATGATCACTCCTGTGTATCAAACGGGCATACACAGTGTCCAAAGGGTGCGATGAGACGTCACCTGGTAATTACGTACGCATGCAAGCGTTTGCTAATGATGTTATATACATATCTGCAGGGACAAAATCAATCGGGAATGCCCGGCCAGGGCGCACAAGATGGCAAGAAGAAAGATGAGAAGAAGAAAAAGTATGTACGAGAAGTCAGCTATTCTGTTTCTAGGCCGCAAGGCAGTCCACTTCTGTAGTGAGGTGCACGTGTACCAAGTAGTGACTACATCCATGCGAGATTTTTGTGCTGGGCATGGTAGTCCCTTTCTGCAGTGAGATGCACGTGTCCCAAGTAGTGACTACATCCATGCGAGACTGTTTATTCTGGGCATGGTAGTCTTTTTCTGTCATGAGGTTCACGTGTACCAAGTAGTGACTACATCCATGTGGGGCTGTTTGTGCTGGGCATGGTAGTCCTTTTCTGTAATGAGGTGTATATGTACTAAGTCGTGACCACATCCATGTGGGGCTGTTTATTCTGGGCGTGGCAGTCTTTTTCTGTTATGAGGTTCACGTGTACCAAGTAGTGACTACATCCATGTGGGGCTGTTTGTTCTGGGCATGGCAGTCTTTTTCTGTCTTGAGGTGCACGTGTAGTGACTACATCCATCTCTGTCTTTCCGTGTGTACAGCTGCATACCCTTCATTTATATTGAGTATGCATACTTTGTTACTTTTATTAGCGACATTCTTTGTCTTTCCGTGTATACCTCTGCGTGCCACTCATATATATTGAGTATGCATGCTTTGTTACTTCTATTAGAGTCTTTTTTTGTCTTCCCGTGTGTACCTCTGCATACGCTACATATATATGGAGTATGCATACTTTGTTACTCCTATTAGAGACATTCTCTGTCTTTCCGTGTGTACACCTGCATACCACTCATATATATTGAGGATGCATACTTTATTACTTCTATTAGAGACATTCTCTGTCTTTGCGTGTGTACCTCTGCATACCACTCATATATATTGAGTATGCATGCTTTGTTACTTCTATTAGAGTCTTTTTTTTGTCTTTCCGTGTGTACCTCTGCATACGCTACATATATATGGCATACCACTCATATATATTGAGGATGCATACTTTGTTACTTCTATTAGAGACATTCTCTGTCTTTGCGTGTGTACCTCTGCATACCACTCATATATATTGAGGATACATACTTTGTTACTTCTACTAGAGACATTATCTGTCTTTGCGTATGTACTTCTGCATACCCTACATATATATTGAGTATGCATACTTTGTTACTTCTGTCAGAGACATGCTCTGACTTTCCGTGTGTATTTATGCATACCACTGATATACAAGAAGCATACATTATTCTTTTACGAGTTTTAGACAAATTTTCTGTATTTTAATGTCTACTTCTGAAATTACATCCCATTTTGCGACGGTACTATCTGCAAATGCATACAATCCCAGTAAAATTAGTACTAGGAGGCGCATGGCCCAACACCAACGCTATACATACGTATGTTTAACCTATGAAAGTTCGCATGCACATGGCTTCGAGTGCAGACACATGTTCATATACATTGCTTTCTATTCGGTTTCAAATTATATACATGTGCGTGATTGTATTCAGGCATCCTCTGTATAGTTTATATGCATTTGAATATGTGTATTGATATAGTTATATAATGTGTGTGTATGTACATGTATGTATATTTGTGTGTATATGCTTGTGATGTATAAATCACATACGCATATATGCTACAGTTTTTGATCTCATAGCAATCTGCGTGGATATTTGGATATGGGTATCTATAATTATCATGTCTATAGAATGATACACGTGTCATAATTTCAATAAAGGTGCTGAAAACTGCACACTTCTTTCAAACGCCTGTATTCTCATATGCATACGAATGCAACCAGAGAAGGAGTCAGTACCACAGCTATCGTCTATGCGTTCAGGTGTTTTGTAGGTGGAAACCATGGACTATACTATGTATACCTGTCCACGTGTACCTCTCACCCCCTCATTCTGCCTATCACTCTCGTCCGTCTGTTGTTTGTACCAGATATGAGCCGCCCGTCCCCACACGCGTAGGTAAGAAAAAGCGAAGAGGCCCCGACTCCGCAAATAAACTGCCAGCCATCATGCCACACAACAAGTGCCGTCTGCGACTGTTGAAGCTGGACCGGGTCAAAGACTACCTCAAAATGGAGCAGGAATTCATCCAAAACCAAGAGAGACTGAAGCCACAACAGGAGAAGAACGAGGTATGTGTATGTGTTTATCTGTTGAGTATGAGAGTTGGGGTGAGGGGTATGTTTGTCGTGAGAATGTGTTTTTGGGCGTGGCGTCAATAATGTGGTACGGGAGCATGAAGTCGAAGTCCGCGTAGAAATGGGACACTGATGATGACGGGTATGTTTGTATACTATATATATATAGACGCATGTTGGTAGAAGGTTCTTGTTCCGACTCAGTTACACTGTTGCCTCGTATCATGTATCACTGGCAGTAATCTGTGGCCGATCTTGTTTAGAAGCTATGCGTGCTGTCCCTAGACTCTTTTAAACCAGCCTCATCAGTATTTGCGATGATGTGCGTTAATATGCGAACACTCGTCGTACAAGACTACTAAGCCTAAACTTAATCAAAGTGAGATTGCCTCTGAATGTGTCCCCGTGGTGTCTGAGGTTTTGGTTGTATGGGTCACCAAAATTCATCAAATGTAATATTCCGTCTTCACTCGGTATGGAATCATTGTATAGCGAATCAGTACATATAAGCCTCAACTTATATAGCGAACCTGCCCCCATGTTTGACTCAACTGTCCGTGTATCTCTATCCATGCGCAGGAGGAGCGAGCAAAGGTGGACGAATTAAGAGGCACCCCAATGGGAGTGGGTACTTTAGAAGAGATCATCGATGATAATCACGCCATTGTGTCATCGAGTGGTATGCTGAAGACCGGCTGTTGGGGACTGCGTCTGTGTTTTGTGTGCTTGCTTCGCTTGCCTGTTGATGCTTGCAATGCTTTATTGGTTATATTTCAATTAAGATTTCTCTGTGAGTCATTATGAGACCTGCCGAAGCCGCCAAATCCTCGTACAATCCATTTCCTCATGCTTTTGTGTTGTATTTCATTTTCCACAGTTGGACCCGAATACTATGTCAGTATTTTATCCTTTGTCGACAAAGACCAATTAGAGCCGGGATGTTCTATCCTGCTCCATCATAAAGTATGTGTGCCATCAAGCCCACCCCTCCCCCTCCATATATGGTAAACAGGTTCAAACCTCAGTAGTGCTCTGTGGCCCTCATGGAGGGGTAGGGTTCTTGTTTGTTGGTAGCCTGCCTTTACTTTGTAATAGTCCTGCGAATGCGTAGTGTACCGTGTGAGACAGCTCACGTGATCATTCTACGGTGGGGGATTCCCACACCCCTAGATCTAAAGCGCAAGTTGAGATGCAGTTTGTCTGCGCATGATTATGCTCTTAACGTACTGAAATAATATCTATTGCTTATGTTTGTGTAGAGATCGCACCTTTGCATAGATATGGGTACCTTCGTTGCACAGAGAGACACTCTTCCTTCTCGCTTGGGCAACCTTTAACTTCGCCTCAAAACGCTTGCAAACGGCGCAAACCTCAGAGACAATGTCACGATTACAGACGAGGTTTACATAAATTGTACCATACACTCACCTACATGACTGTTTATTCCACTTTACCTCTCTTGTTATCACACACTTCCATGTATGTCCTGATTTATATCATAGCCAAGGACAGGCCGTTCCGGTTACTTGCTCATTTCATCATATCTTATCAATCTTTCTTACCCTCCTTACTCTCTCTATCCACCTACCCATGTGCATGGCATTCTGGCTACTTGCTTGTCATCATATATAATCTTCCTTACCCTCCATCCTCTCTCTATCCACCTACCCATCTACAGGCCATGGCGGTCGTGGGAGTGCTCGCCGACGACGCAGACCCCATGGTAAACGTTATGAAGCTAGAGAAGGCGCCTACAGAATCGTATGCGGATATCGGTGGGTTGGACTCACAGATTCAGGAGATTAAGGAAGCTGTCGAGCTGCCACTGACACACCCTGAGTTCTACGAAGAGATGGGAATCAAGCCACCAAAGGGTGTAATTCTGTATGGACCTCCTGGAACGGGGAAGACCCTCCTGGCCAAGGCTGTAGCTAACCAGGTGAGTGTGCGAAAGTTCGCAACCGTGTGATGGTAGTGTTGTTTTGTTAAATGCGGAAGTGTTTTTGGATGACCTGTCCTGGTGGGTGTGGCCTGGTGAGTGCACGACTATGGTGAATTGTATGGCGAGGCTGTGATCGATGCAGTGTATGCGCATGTGTGGGTAGTGTAGTGGTGGGTGCCGTATCATATATCGTCAATGTCATCTCATTGTGTTGTCAACGGCATCTCATTGTGGGACTGTATGCTATTCACGCTATCTAGCGAGCGTTTGGATGGGATGTATAATAATGATATATGTGTGGGTGTGTAGATTTCGTATCGGCAGTGGTTATATCGAATGAGCAAGTGAAATATCTGGAAACGTATCTAACATCCTGTGCTGGAGTTGGCTGGAAACTGATCATATATCATGTGCCACCGCATGTAAGTGGAATCTCGCCTTGACAGACCCCCCTCGTCACCGCCCACTTTTGCCTTCACCCATTTAAATCAAGATAGCCCCAAGCGCATGCCTGTTCACTTCTACGAATTTCGGACAAGTAAATGAACTCTTTGTTAGCCATACAACTATGCATGTTCATGTACCTGGAATCTCTGATTGCCTTCTCTGATCCCCATGGCCTAATTTGATATCTCTAGACTTCGGCGACGTTCCTGCGTGTAGTTGGGTCAGAGCTGATCCAGAAATACCTTGGAGATGGGCCTAAGCTGGTGAGAGAGATGTTCCGAGTCGCAGAGGTAGGTGAAGTGACCGTATCAATATTTGCAATCCTTTTTTCTTTACCTTTTATGTTCCGTTATCCTCCCGATTTATGTATTAATATCCTCATTTTAATTTTTTATGATAATCTCGATTGGACTCTGAAAAGTCCCTTCAATTTCAACTGCCATTCATCCGCTTTCGATTCCACTCCCTGAATGTTGCCATATAAGTTGATACTCGGTGCTATTTTCAAGCTCCATGCTTAGCCTGCGCCTTATATGTCCTTACTTTCAACTCAACTGTTCCACCCAGGATCACGCTCCGTCTATTGTATTTATAGATGAGATCGATGCCGTCGGTACCAAACGATACGACTCGAATTCTGGTGGAGAAAAGGAGATTCAGGTATGCTTGTCCAGTTTAGGAACATCCGTCAAGATGGAGTAATATGTGTATATGTATATGTATGTTATGTATGTGTATATATATATATGTGTGTGTGTGTGCGTGTGTGAACTTGCTTGACCGTATACATCTTTTCATATAAGTGTACACTTTATAGTAGCTACGATTCCCGATTATCTTGGACTTTATATTTTGCGGTTGAATAATTGAATCTTCTGACTAGTATGGCTGCACTGTGAGTAGTCTACGATTTTTTGGCCATCTATCGATTTCAAGAAAGGCCTTGTTCAATGGCAAAGTCGATACTCTGATGAAACCCTTTCAACGTACATGCAATTTAACGTGTTGCTTCGTGATTTCAGCACCCTGTTGTGTGTGTTCAGCTTTTCATTGCGCATATTAATCGCCGCATAACCTTTGCACCACCCAACAGCGTACCATGTTGGAGCTTCTGAATCAATTGGATGGTTTTGATTCGCGCGGAGACGTCAAGGTAATCATGGCGACCAATCGGATCGAGACATTGGACCCCGCGCTCATTCGTCCCGGGCGTATTGACAGAAAGATTGAGTTCCCGTTGCCCGATGAGAAGACCAAACGCAGAATCTTTGGCATTCACACGGCTCGCATGACCATTGGCGAGGATGTCGATCTGGAAGAGTTGATCATGGCCAAGGATGACCTCAGCGGGGCTGACATCAAGGTGTGTGGGGTGACTTTAATCAACGTGGCACGTACTTCCTGTTCGCTTTAGTATATTCTTATATCACATACTTCCTGTTGTTGTTTTTTTGCTTTAGTGTATTCTTATAGTACATACTTTTGTTTTTTGTTCACTTTAGTATATCCTTATATTGCATAAAAAAAATAATTGTTCGCTTCAGTATATACTTATATTACATACTTTTGTTTTTTGTTCACTTTAGTATATCCTCATATTACATACTTTTGTTTTTTGTTCACTTTAGTATATCCTCATATTACATACTTTTGTTTTTTGTTCACTTTAGTATATCCTTATATTACATACTTTTGCTTTTTGTTCGCTTTATAATATCCTCATATTACATACTTCTGTTTTTTTGTTAGCTTTAGTATATCTTTATATTACATACTTTTGTTTTTGTTCGCTTTAGTATATTCTTATAGCGCATGATTGTCGCGCGGGTGTGTCATACAGCATGCGATTTGGCTATCGGGTTGTGTTACATGGTGTATGTTGAGTGCTCTCTCTGTGCGAGATGGTGTGCAGGAACCTGCGCTTGCCCGTGTGTGTTGTGTTACACTTAGTCGTTTGTATTCATCTTCGCCGCCTGCATTTATTACACCCAGGCTGTCTGTACGGAGGCTGGTCTGCTAGCACTGAGAGAGAGGAGAATGAAAGTAACACAGAAGGACTTCCTGGAGAGTAAAGAGAACGTCCTTTATCGTAAACAAGAGGGCACGCCAGAGGGCATGTACTTATAAACAAACCGTCATCTGTCATCGCAACGTATACCTGTACTGGGATGCGACCATCAGTGAACACCCGGCAACCTAATATAAAAATACACTGATAGTATTAAAAGTACTGTATTGTATATTGGTGACAACACTGGCGTCTGTTGAGCTGTCCACCTCTATATTTTAATTGATATTCTTCCTGGAGACCCCTGTTACTGAGTACCCTCGATTTATAAACCTTATAAACGAAGCAAATGTTCACAGCCCCTTTTTTAAAGATCGACTTCGCCTCCGTATGTCTGATTTTAGCGCTGCATATGTGCGAGCTTTAAATCGCGAATGAAGACAGACTCTTCGGCAAATGAGAAAAAAAAATCAAATACCGCCCATTGGCACCTCGTTGGACGAATCAGTTCCCGAGAGGAGCTCCGCAAGTTTACGTCTCTCTATCCTGGCTATATAGGATATGTATGTACACAATCCAGACTGTGTAGGATATGCATGCATACAACTCGGACTATATAGGCTATACATGCATACAACTCGGACTATATAGGATATACATGCATAAAACTCAGACTATATAGGATATGCATGCGTACAGCTCAGGAACACCTCACATTAAACAATGGAGACTATAACGCGGTGTGCTAGCGCCTAGAGTTAACATTGCCAGGACAGACACGGTGATTCGAGCTCTTAAAGCTCTGAAGATGGTACCAAATCAGTTTGCTATTCAATGGCACTACTATACACACATCGGACCACATTGGTTGATCGAACTTCGATCAGCGTATCGTATCCCTCCTGCACTCGGATCATATTCATCATGATCAAAAGTTGTATCGTTAAATACTTCAGGGATGACCAAATTATTAATAGTCTGTTGGTGTGTAGCCCACAGCCTTGCGATAGCCTAGCAGGTGCTGGCCCCTATAGTGTGTGACAGTTGCCGCAATGTCTTCGTTAAGCTACTCCCCTGGCGCATACATAACGTTTGTTTGTGTGTTTGGTTTTGGTCAATACTCAATACTGTCAACATGTCCTTATCTTTATGTTCATTGGCTTTATATAGTAGCGAGAGTATGATTCTTTTCTGAGTGCGTATCTGCGCGCATCCGCATGCCTTCAAAAGTTGAAACACTGATAGTGCCCAACTTTCATACGGTCACGATCAAAGTCAAAATCGGGGTCACTCCTGTAAGTTAGATACTGAAAACGTTAACGTTTGGCGAAGTTAACGAATCGCCGTCAACGCAGGCCAGCTTTGCGCTGCAGTCTACACGAATACAACCACGAGGTTATATGATGAGACGGTCACAGTCCATATAACCCCGGCAAAAAAAAATTATAAAACTGCAGAATCTGTATTTTCTTATTCGTAGATATCTATTCAACGACATGACGTGTGTATTGTTATTGAAGAAGGTTGTAGAGTTTGTAGACGTGGTGAAACGATGCTACAGTTCGACTCTCGATGTCGACTCACACAAAAATGCAGTTAAGTGTGCCATACTGTATGCACGTCAGCTGCACAGACAGTGACGAGCTGATCTACGTTTACTATGCACAAGTGTTTCTTGGAATCAAATAGTTATTGTCAAAGACTCTCTGGCCGGAGGGGGGTCATCTCTCGATAGGCTAGCCTGCATTGTGTGTGATGCTCCTCGATAACGACGTTATTTATTTCGCCCGATCCAACAACAACTCGCAGGGGATTTCCTGAAGGGATGTGTAGTGTTCATAGCTTATTATAAACCCTTATTTTAAAATAAATATTACAGTGACACTTTTAGTATATAACACAGTGAGAAGCTGAAGAACATCGGCGCGAAGTATTCAAACGTATGTGGACAGCATCGGCGCATTCTGTACACAAGATTAGTGTCAGCTTTTTATCAGCGCGTGATCAGCGCGTACATATCTTTGCGACGTACATAATATTGTATTCAACATAGTGTGGCCACGTATAAATATTGTTTCAAACTAAAAACTATGACTCATAGAGTCCAGTTTCGGAATTCATAATTTAATATAATATTTTAAAACACGACATACTTTTCAATAAAAACATGATTTCAATTGAAACCCTTATCATTCGTATCAGCAATATCATATTTGACCTGTTGCCGCCGTTTATGGGGTTGCTGCATTCATTCCGACAAGCGTGATTATATATGTACGCTCATATACGGTATAAGGTACTACACAAACAGGCACGTGCACATACATGCATACAGTCACCCCCTTATCCTTCACGTATTCAGCGACGTGTGAATAGTCAAGATGGGAAACGAATTAGGCAAGATGAAACGCTACAAGAAAGCAGAGGTGGTTGACCTCAGTAAAACCAAGATGACAAAGATACCACCCGTGCTGGCGAAACTCAAACATGTACAGGAGCTTCTGCTCAACGAGAACGAACTGACAGAACTCCCAGCATACATAAGTAAGTGAACCGACGCACCGAAGTTGTATCTTGAATATTTAAAATATCTGTAAACATTATTCCCACTGATGCATTGAGCGGTGTGCAGATCTGAAGGTAAAATGCTTATACATACAAGTGTACAAACTATCGTTTTTAGGTGTGATAGAATATGTGTCACAGTATACAGTTTTTCCATTTTACGGCCCCACCCTGTCACTAAATATGTGATGCTTCGACCAGTAGACCCGCAATTGTCGCTGAGCATATAGTTGTGGATAGTATATAAAGGCGGGTTGTTCGACATTAAAGATCAATACTAGCGACGCAAACTCAATTTCAGTCTATTTCATATAGTGTCTACTGAAAGGTACAACAGGTGATCGTGTCAGTTGTGCCGATGATAGCGATCAATTTTTTAATTATATTTTCTCTTATGCACTACGACATATCGAAGACATCAATGACGAGTATTGGATCTTCATAAAATGATGCTATCTCTTTTTATGAAGCCGCATCTCCTTGATATTTCACTGCAGTAATTATGAAATGTATAGGTTTGATCAAATACATCAATACACATAATACAGCCCAAATTGAGATACATGCATGTATCTGTATATATATATATATATATATATATATATATATATATATATATATATATATATATATATATATATATATATATTATATATATATATATATAGTATATATATATATATATATATATATATATATATATATATATATAGTATAAGTATA